AAACATAGACAACTCCCCGCCCCCCAATAAAAAAATTAAAGACAAAGTGTCTTTGATTCACATTCAGGCTCCACCAGTTCTTTCTCTGGAGACGGACAGCACCTAAGTCCTTCACAGTTTTCTTGGGTCATTGTATTGCTGAGAATAGCTAAGTCTTTCCACATTGATCATCATATAATATTGCTGTTACCACAAACAGTGTTGTCCTGGTTCTGCTCACTTCACTTTGCTTCAGTTTGTGTAAAGTCTTCTCAGTTTTTTCTGAAAGCATCCTGCTGGTCATTTCATATAGCACAATAATATTTTATCACAATTATGTACCATAACTTGTTCAGCCATTCTCCAACTGATAGACATTACCTCAATTTCCAATTAGAACTGGAGTATTAGGGAGCCTTGTTTCCCTATTGAGAAGACAGGAAAGCCCAGAGTAAATAAAGCCCAAAAGCAAACTCAGAGGTTATCAAAGGCAGAGATCAGTGAAAGGAGTCACCCCTGTGTCCTCAGGCTATCAGTGCCATTGGTAGCCAGTGTGCAAGAGTACAGATTTTAGGGATGCCCCGTATATGGTGGGACAGTGATATTTAGTACACACACACACACACACACACACACACACACACACACAACAGAGTAGTTGATTGGAAAGTCACTAGGAAGGGCATTAATAGTTGGGGGCATCTAGAAAGACTCTGGTTAAATGATGAGTTTGAATCTTGAAAGAAATGTCATATGGGACCTTAAAAGTCATCAATTCCAACTGTACCATATTGTTTCATTTTTTGAAAACATTTTAAAAATTCTGAACTTGAGCAACAAAAAAAAGAACATTTCCATACACATAGGAGAACACATAAAGAAAGTTCTAGATGAAATCCCAAATGTCCCTTATTCACTGGCTGGTTACCTTTTACCCTAGAAGAATCAGGGCCCAATGTCCTCAGATTTGCTTGATGCAGCAAAGCCTTCATTGCCTGAAGAGTCAGAGAAGTCAGCCACTAGAAGGTGAACACCCAAACTGGCCTCTAGGAAAGGGGGAGATGCCATTGGCTCCACGGCCATGTTCCTTTCTCCCCTAGGAGGGGGCCGAGGCCAGGGATACCTGAGAGATCAGATCAGGCCACTACTGCCTTCCATGACGGGAGTAACAGGTGGCCTGATCTAACAACCGCTGGACTCCTGTCAGGAGTGGCCTGGAAAGTTGGGGCTCGTCTGAGTTCCAGAGGGAAGGGGGAAAATAAGAATGAAAAAGGAAGTTTCTCCTTTGGCCAAAGGAAGTCAACCTGAGTTTGTCAGGGAGGGAGCGAGGCATGGTGGTAAGGACACTTAGCTTGGCACCCTGATGACCTACACTGAAATGCCAGCTAGGCCATTCCCCCTGCTCCCCAATTTTTATAAAGACTTTATTGCTCAGATATATAAGGGATTGATTCACATGTATAACACTGCACCGGCTGCTATAGGTCTCTCTCCACTGCAGCCCACCCTCCATTCCCTTTCAAAGTGATCTTCCTGAAGGGCAAGTCGGACCACATCACCACACCCCAACTCAGTAAACTGCAATGGCTCCCTATTACCTCTAGGGTTATCTATGAAATCCTCAGGTGTTCAAAGCCCTTCATAACCTAGCCTCCACCCATCCACCTCTTATCCCTTATACACACACATACACAGACACACACACACACTCTCTCACACACTCACAGACACACTCATACACACACACACTCACACACACTCTCACATACACATACTCACACACACAGAAACAAACACACACCCTACTTTTTTCCCAGTTCCTTGAACAAGACACTCTCTCCTACTTCTGGACATTTGTCCTGGCTGTCTCCCAGGCCTAGGATGTTCTTCCTCCTTATCTTTGCCTCCTCTACATGTAGCTTGTTAGTGCACAGTTGTTTTCCTGCTGTAACCCCCAGTAGACTGAGCTCCTTGAGGACAGGAGCTATCTTTTGCCATTTTTGTGTGCCCAGAGCTTAGCACAGTGCCTGGCACATAGGCACCTAATAAATGTTGCTTTGCTCACATGTCTGTATATTTATTCATACATACACACACACATACATACATATGGAAGCTCATTGAGGGTGGAAGCCAGTTCATTTGTTAGAATGTTAGGTCCTTGAGGGCCCTTTCATTTTTGTCTCTGTGTCTCCAGTAGGATAGTAGATCATTAATGAATGCTTGTGTGATTGACTCATTTTACAGATGCAGAAACTGAGGCAAACAGGGTTAAGTGACTTGCCACAGGGGACACAGCCAGGCAGGGAGACCAGATCTGACCTCAGGAAGATGAGTCTTCCTTACTCCAGGCCTGGCATTCTATGCACTATGGCGCCACCTAGTGGCCCCAGCACAACTGTTGGTTGAGTGATTGATTATGTCGCATCCCTATCCAAAGGCCTTGGGAGAATCTGGTCTGGCCATTTGGTCAAACCAAACAGCCACATAATTCAGCTCATATTTCTCTCCTTTCTCATTCTCCTTTCAGTTCCTGTAACAACTAGGAGATAGCCCTAGAATCTATGGATCAGCCAAGGAACTAATTAGTCAGCAGGCATTTATTAAGTCCTAAGTATCTACTAAGTTCTAAGCACCCACTTATTGCCAGGAAATGTGCTAAGTGTTTGGGATTTGGGACAAAAATGAGGCCTCTGACCTCCAGGAGAATGAAATCTAACTTGATTTCTCATGCAAATCTTGTAGTCTGATTGCCTCATTCACTGTCTATCAACATTTGAAAGCTGAGGCCCTGGGGGTGGCTCCCCAACTTGGATGATGAGATATAGGCCCAAATGAGCTCCTCTCCATCTTTATCAAAACATAAAGTTTTTTTTTAAAAAGTTAAGAACAGGGTCTAGGAAGTTAGAAGTTAGGAACAAAGGATGGGCCCCATGTCAAAAAGTCAGGCTTCCGGGCCATCTGGTCCAGCCTATAAGCAGCCCTCTACCTCTTTCCCCAATTACTTATCACTCAGCCATTGCTGTGGCCCTGGAGAATTTTGCTTCCTTTTGATTCTTTCCAAGGCCCAGGATGATTCCAAGAGGGCTGAGCAGAGCAGATTCAGAGACCCCCCCTACCAGAAAGGAGATGGCCCTTCCTGCTATTCTGTTCTCTTTGCAAGAAAGGATGGCCTAAAATTGAGGCAAGCTGACCTTTCCTCTTCTTCCTTTCATTGGGACTTCTGGAATCCAGTAACCAAGAGATGAGATCCCAGAGGGAGCCTGATATGTGGGAGAACTGGGTTTTGGCAGCAGCCAAGTATGTTATGGGGATAAAACCCAGAATGTCTCCTACGCCATGCATGGGCTGCTCTGAAGTGTATTCTTAACCAGACTGGTGAGCTGGGCAGAAGAGCAACCCTCTGCATGTCTTGCCCCCAAGAGAGGGAACAAAAACCCTTCTCCTCCATTCTTGCTGAGTCTTATGGTCCCAAGGCTCGGCCCTAAATCTTCTCTCATAGGCGACTTTGGGGGGGGGAGTGGGTGGTATTCTACTTCTTTTAAAGGAAAGACCAGCAGCCAAGGTGATGATTGAAGGTCTGCCCATGTCACACATATGAACATGCCTCACTGAGCTCCCCGGCCCGCTACCCAACACCTCTAGAATCAAATATAAACTCCCTTCTTTAGATTTTAAAGCTTGTCATAACCTGAACTATAACTGAATCCAACTGGATTCCAAGGGCCACACCTGAGGACCTAGAGGGCCACATGTGGCCTCAAGACCGGAGGTTCCCCACCCCTGACCTGGACCCTTCTTCCTTTACAGTCTTCTTCTTCCTTTACAATCTTCTTCTTCCTTATATCTTACTCTCTTCCACGTCCTCTATAATCCTACCATGCAATGATCCACTCAAAGTTGCTCAAACAAGACACCTCATCTTCTAAGAATATTTTTTACCTACATTCAGAATGGAAGGAAATGCTCATTTTCACCTGAGAGGTTAGTGAAAATCAAGATGAAGTTTCTTCCTCTCATCCAAGTTCACAAACCCTTTGAAATCTATCCACAGATCCATTGGGAGTCTGTGGATTGCAGGTTAAAAACTTTCGTATTAGAAGCCTTTAAGTCAGCAAACCCCTGGGCAGGGGCAAAAGATGAGAGATCTTCTGGGAGAGCGGACATTCTGCTCAGGTTGTGTGATCTTGGGCAAGTCATTGGAACTGCCAAGCCCCAGTTTCCATATTTGTCAAATGAGGGAGGTTGTATGAAATGATGAGTTCCTTCTCCTCCAACATTCTGGGAGGCTGAGTCACCATCTCTTAGAAATCAGCTCTCCTTAGAAACTCACCTCCTGTCCTGTCTGTACCCCAATCCACCCTCCAAAATGGCCCTCGCAGGGCAGCTAGATGGCACAGTGAAGAAAGCTCCAGACTTGGGGTCAGGAGGACCTGAGTTCAAATCCGGCCTCAGACACTTGACACTTACTAGCTGTGTGACCCTGGGCAAGTCACTTAACCCTGACTGCCTCACCAAAAACAAAATGGCCCTCAAGAGACGGCCCCTGTAGAGACCATGCCCAGGAGGTGCCACTCAACCCTTAATGACGATGGGATCCTGCCCCTTTACCCAGTTCTGAAACCCCTTTCCACCTCTTATTCTAAAAACTGTTATCACATCAGTCAATACTACCATTGCTCATGGAAAGGGCACGTCAATCAATTCCCCTTCCCTGTGATTTCCCTGACCAAAACCCCCTTCCCTGCCATTCAGGGTGCCCCAAAAATCAGAGGGCAGTTTAAAGCTATTAAAGCTTCCATCTGCACTAAGATTTTTGGGACACCCCGTATATGGTTGTCTCTCCCTATTAGAACGGAAGCTCCTGGAAGGCAAGGGGTGTCTTGGTTTTCTATGTGTATCCCCAGCACTTGGCACAATGTTCGAAGCATAGTAAATGCTCAATAAATGACTTCTCATCCATTCATTCTTCCTGCCTTGATAAAAGACATTTCCAAACGGAAGAACTGACCATACATAAATCACTTTTTAGAAACTTTTTAATTAATAAAGAGGCAAGAAAGAAAGAAGTATTCATTTAAATAACTATTGCAGAAAAGGAGCTGGGGGCCAGCTCACAAGACCCGCGTCTCCCAGAAGGATTCCAAGATGATATAAAAGAAATAAATTACTTCGTTCAATACTGTTTAGCATGACTGCATTTCCCACCCCACCCCCATCTTCTAAACACTCAAAACGGCCTCTTCCCTAAGCTTTAGGATGAGACTAGCAGGCCCCCAGTACCACTCTGGGATTAGTGGAGGAGGCCTTGTTACCAAAGGCAGGGCAGCAAAACCTGCCCTGTCCTAGCTGTCTCATTCCTACCCCCCTTCCCTTGGGACTGACTGGGAGAGAGGCCCACGTTGCCCAGCCCCATCAGGTCAGGGTTTTCTCAGTCCTCCTGGAAGGGGCCTGTTGTCCTAAAAGAGGCTGGGAATGCGTGAGTGTGAGTGTGTGTGTGTCTGCCCAGGAGGAATTGTGGAGACTGTCAGTGCTGAAGGAGGAAGTGGGGCAGCTTCACAGAAGCCTTTGCTCTCTCCCTTCCCAAGATCCCCTGACTCTGAAGGGCTAGCAACCAACCAAGGTCTTCCCTTGGGGAGATAGCCGAGTTAAGGCAGCCAAGCAGATAGTCAAAATGTAACCCTTGGCTGCCCCTTCCAGAGCTGAAATGGGCAGGGGGTGGGTGGAGACCCAAAGTGAAGGGATGAAGGGGAGAAGGCATGCAGTGGGGGCAGGCCCACCCCTCCCCAGCAAGGTTCCTGGCTAAGTTGCATGGCTAGCTTAAAACAAAACAAAACAACAACAACAAAAAAAAAACAAAAACAAAAACAAAAAACAAAGCACCCTCTCCCCCTTTGGTGCCCAAGCCAAGGCTTGCAGCTTCAGGTTAGCTACTTGGTGAAATGGAAGCAGATCCCACACCCCCCACCCCAGCCAGCAGGCTCCCTGAACCTGCCTGGCATGGAGGGAGAAGAGGGGAGAAATGCATGCACCAAGCTGGCGGGTTGTTAGAGCCCCTTAGCTAGAACTTTCTGGAAGGGTCGCTCCCCAAAGCTGGTCTGAGTAGTGCAGAAACAGTAGGGTTGGATCCAAGGGGGATTTCTTTGCCTCGGTCCTCCCCTTAGAGCAGAGTACCCAGAAGAGTGAGGGCCACGGGCCAGGAAAGGGGACAGGAAGGACTGGAGTGATTGTGGATTGAAGGCCTGTTGGATTTGAGGTGCCTGGGCTTCCCCCAATGCCCAGGGTCATAATCCTTGCACCCCCTGCTCTCGGATCTCTCCATCCTCGCCCCCAGGGAGGGGCCGACTTCCCAAGTGAGAAGTTGGGAGCTCCAGCTAAGATTCTCCCATAGGGAGGCAGTTAAGTGCTGATCCAGGGGGTGAGGAAGTTGAGATGGGAGAGCCAGAACGAGGGCACCCAAAGCTGCTTGGGGTTCCCACTATGATTGCATTTTGCTTCAGTGGGGTCTATTCTACCCTCCAGCCCTGAGGAAATAATGGAAATATCCTGGATCAACTGTTGTTATGTGCCTAGAGAGCTGTGGAAGGGCTCCTGCTTGACTTCTTGGTCAAAGCTACCCACAAACGCCAAGAGGCCAGCATGCCGTCTTTCCCTAAACAATCTGATTATGTCTTAGAGACCGTTCAAAGCCTTGGTGTGATCCCCCTCCCTTCCTCTCCAAAGAGGCCAGAGGAGGACTGGCCAGAAGAGGAGGACAGCAAATGGGAGAAGTGCCCTTTTCCAATGCACTCATGGCTGGGTGGATTAGGAAGGGCTCCCCCAGCCTTCTTCCTCCCTGATTAGAAGGGCCTCCAGAAATAGGCATGCACCTTTCTGCTTCTGGGGGACTAAACCCGCTGAACTCTTTTCCTCTCCAGTCTCTGATATGTCTTGAATATGGCCCCCTGTGGCTTCCACCATGGGGATTGTTGAAACCAACTGGTTTGCCTTAAATTTAAAATAATAATAGTAATTCTACACAAAAAATACCCCTAATCCAAGAATATGGGAGGGTAAAGTAGCCACTGGCTTGACTCTGAAGGTCACTTGCCTCTGCCGGAGCCCCTGGGTCACAGGCACTGGACTCACCCCCGTGAGTCCTTCATGATTGGTTTGGAAAACAAAAGCCTCCACTCCGTCACCCTGTGATTGGGGCCAGAAGTCGGCCTTTCTCCAGACTTCTCACAATTGGTGGGGGGAGGGAAGACAGATGCTCCTGATTGGTTATGGAGACTCCAAGTGGAGTCTCTCATGATTGATTGGGGAACTTCAACACTCCCGGAACAAAGCAGGTGCCCTGTGACTGGCCTCCAGGCTCCAGCCAGAGGGAGAGCTGAGGGTCCCTTATGCCTCCGGCCACAGCAGCAGAAAGGTACAGTTGGGTGGTCAGGGCTCAGTTGCCCCGATAGACTTCAATCTTGCTGGCCTTGGCCAGCATGTCAATGATGTGGGCTTCAAAGTCCGCATCATGTACCCCTGTCTTCCGGAACTCGCCAGCGTAGCGGTTATTCTCCCAGTAATGGTGCCAATTGCCTCGACTGTCCGCCCCAAACCCGTAGACGTTCACCTGAGATCAGAAGTGAAGAAGGCATGGGTCAGTCGAGGGACAGGAGCAGAACTGAAAGGGTTTGGGTCAGGAATGGCCTGTTGGCCCAATCTTCTCCCTTCCTCTCTCCGAGGACCTTTGGGTGGATAGTCTCACATCACCCACTTCATGAACAGCCAGAGGTTTCAGTTAAGGAAAGACTCGCTGAGAGGAGGTTTAGGCTCAAAGTGCCAGTGGAGATACTGGATACCTTGTATCAGGGGTCAATTTTAGCTACATAAAATAGTGCCCAAAGCTCCAGGCCTTGAGTTCAAATCCAGATACTTACTAGCTGCGTGACCTTGGGCAAGTCCTCTCTCCTTGCCTCAGTTTCCTCATCTGTAAAATGAGGATAATAGCAGCACCTACCTCCCAGGGTTGCTATGAGGATCAAATGAGAAAATTATCATAAAGTGCTTAGCCCAGTGCCCAAGATACATAATGCACATAATAAGTGCTATATAAAATGTTGGCTGTTATTATTATTAATCTATTTATTTAGTATCTTAGGGATTTTCAGTCTCAGAACCAGGGAGAGATCAAAGCTAGTCAGTTTCTGCCTGATAATCTCCAACTGGGACCCGGGAAGATTAGGACTTGGTCTTTGTTCCTACCTCATAGGACTAGGGGAAGGAGGGTGCCCAAGGTCTCACCTACCTCATCACACACATGTAAAGCAAAGAAGAGCACCAGCATGCCCGTGGAAGGGTAGCGCCCATGATGCTCTGTCCACCTGTCGTGAATATACTTGAAGAAGGCTGGGTTGTAGATCTGGACCTAGGACGTGAGAAGCCAACTGGTCAGGAGAAAGCTGGGGGGTGGGGGGTCCCAAAGCCGCAAGGATGCCTTCGGGCAGCTCTGGCCCCTTCTACCAGCTGCTTCTAGTTGACCCTGGTAGTTTCCAATGTCTGTAGCTGGGCTTTGCCCCTCACGAGGTAGGTGCTCGATAAGGGACAACTGAAGGTTATCAAGGAGAGGGGTCGAGGAACCATCAGAAACCCTGAAGTAGGTGTCCCGTGGGCTGGTTGCCTAGAACAGGCCAGGCACTTCTAGCATCAGAGATGTACCAACACTTTTTGCAAATGGGCCATCCTAGGATCTGATATCAAACTACTACTACAAACTGGGCCGCTAGGTGGCGCCATAGTGCACAGAGTGCTAGGCCCGGAGTCGGGAAAACCAGAGTTCAAATCCAGCCTCAGACACTTACTACCATGGCAAGTCACGCAGCCATCGTCTGCCTCAGTTTCCTCATCTGTAAAATGAGGATGATAATAACAGCACCTCCCTCGAAGGGTTGCTCAGCGCAGTTCCCGGCGCATAATAAGTGCTACATGTCAATACTTATTCCTTCCCCCGCCCCTGGCTCCAGAGCAAAGTCAGCCTACCTTTTCCTTGTCCACTCGGAGGAAGGACTTCACAGGAGCATAGGTGCTGTAAACAGAGAGAAGGCCACGCTTAATATGGTCTAGAAAGGGCCTGCCCCATCTCAGAGCTCTTCTGCTGTGGGCATCTCCCAATTCCAGTGTGCCCTGCCTACACTGCCAGATGAATCTTCCTCACTAGAATGTTTTATTGAATTGAGTAAATTACAGTTAAAGGGCTAGAAATCAGGAGCCCTGTCTCTGCTACTTACCCACTGCACTTGGGAACTCCCTTCCCTTATTTTTCACCCATCAGGAAGTGGTCCTTGGCCAACCCTGACTGAACTAGCACTCTGGACCCTGCTCACCACTGACCCCTCCTTGGCCTTTCAGCTGAGTGTGCCAAGGATTCCAAGACCCAGATCCCAGGGTGAGAGGACCCCCCCCGAAACCTTTTTAACAACCTCACCCTCCCCATCCCCAAGGAGAAAGGCCTCACAATCGGATCTGTCCCGTGGACAGGGCGCTGGCGATCCATAGCAAGTCCAGGGCCTTGAAGGGGACCAACACAAAGCTAACATTGGCAGGCAGGTTCTTGGCACTCTCTGGGTACATGAAGTGATGGGTGGTCCGGCTGCCCACATCTTGTTCGAAGCCCACTGTTGGGGCTTGGTTCATCCTGAGCGGGAGAGAAGGTGGACAGAAAGCTTAGGAGATCGGCGTGAATTCCAGAGTTCTCACACCTGGGCCCTTTCTCCTCCCTTTCTGAAGTGAAGGCGCAGAGAGATCTCACACACAAAAGCTTTAACGCGGCCCACTCTTGAATCCTTGGTCTGGAAGGAACTACTCTAACTAGCAGCCCAAGTCCAACCAACTCATGGTCCAGCAACCATTTAACCATATTCCTAGGAGACGGGAATTCTATGCCTGGTTCCAGTCGGCTTTCACCCCAGTCCAGGCTCAGGTCTCTCCTTCTAGACATCTGAACTTATCATCTCTCCCCTGGTTCCCAACTTCTATTTTCAGTCCAGGTCTAATTTCCTTGGTTTCTTATGATGCCTAGCGCCTAATGAAGTTAAAAAAAACCCTTCTCTTTTACTGACATCTGATACCTAACTACATGCTTCAGTTACCTTTTCACTATCATTCTTTGAGACTCAGAGCCATTTTGGCTCTCCTTGGAAAAGATAGAAAGACATCTCTTGTCTACCCCTTACCCATTAACTGTTAAGATGTATGTATGTGGACATGAGCATGATTATTCATAGTTAAACTGACTATGGGGAACAGTTTGCCACCAGGCCATAGTCGAGCAGGTGCATGGTGAGATGCCCAAGTGCAACCTTAGCTGGAGACAATGAACCAGTGGATGAGGGATTCATCTTCATCTTCATCTTTCTTTCTGATTAAGGAACAGGCTAGCAGGAAAAAGAGTGCCTCGGGACAGGGCCTTTGGATGAAGAGAACTGCTATGTCAAGAGCAAAGATAAGGACTCCCTCCTAGAGGGCTAAAGAGAAACCACCGGCAGACCCTTCACATCAGGGGATGGAAGCATGGTAGGTCAGAGAAGCCCCAATACTCTGTTCTCTGGACTGCAATGCAAGAGGGGGTTTCTATGGTAACATCTCCAAGACCTTCATTTTCTCTTGAGTCCTCAAGGGCCCAGCAGCCCAGAGGGGTTTCACATACCCTGGGTATTCTCTCCCAAGGTCACACCGTTGACTCTCGGCCACAGCACCAGTGACCAGAGCCTATGTTCTCATGTCAGTCACACAGGACCCTCCCAGGACTATCTTAAATCCTATCTTCCTGGAAAACTCCCCTTCACACACTGAGCAGGTTTGGCCTTCCAAAACCCCGGGCAGAAGGAAAAGACAGAAGCTGGAAATCTGAGCAGATGAGAAGTTGGATTTGGAAATCTTACTGAATCTGGAGAGACCAACATGGTGACTCGTAGGTTCTAAGGCAGGAGGCTCTCTGTGCCTTGTTTGGGGTCTCTCGTGGACCTTCAGTTCCGGAGAATGCCAGAACAAAGACACTGACACCTCCTTATCCCTTGGGGAGATACATAAGTAAGAAGGGAGAAAGCTTTCTTCCATGGCACCAGAGGGCTTAGCACATTTACTGAGTCATTTTTCAGTCATGTCCGTCTGACTCTTCATGAACCCATTTGGGGTTTTCTTGGCAAGGATGCTGGAGTGGTTTGCCATTTCCTTCTCTAGGAAGGGAGCCACAGCACACAGTAGGTGCTTGACAAATGCTTAAGGGCAGCTAGGTGGTGCAATGGATAGAGGGCCAGCCCCGGAGTCAGGAGGACCCTTGTTCAAATCCAGCCTCAGACACTTACTAGCTGTGTGACCCTGGGCAAGTCATTTAACCCGATTTATCTCAGTTTCCTCATCTGTAAAATGAGCTGGAGAAGGAAATGGCAAACCACTCCAGTATCTCTGCCAAGAAAACCCTAAATGGCATCACAAAGAGTTGGACACAACTGAAACGCCTCCTGCTTACAGACTGACTACCTGGAAACCCGATCACCCCCACTGTTGCCATCCACTCACTTTAAAGGGACCATCTACAAATTACCTGTACCATCATATCCCTGGCATCTCATTAGATTTTACATCTACTCTTGGACCCAGTGCACATTCCCAAACAGTAAGAGTGAACAATTGAACATTTTGGTACAAGGCCTTTGGCTCAGTGGAGGAAAGGGCGGGGAGCTTCAGATCCTTTGGGAAATCTATTAGCGGCCCATCCTTACCCCAAACTTTTCAGAGCTATTGCCCTCGTGCGCAGGTTAATACAGCCATAGGTCTAACTGGACACAGAAGAGCTAGAAAGTATTTCAGAAGGTGCCTGGTTCAAGTTCTTCCTTTTATAAATGAAGAAATTGAAGCCCAGGGAGTATGTCTCAAAGGTGGTATTTGAACCCAAGTTCTCTTACCTTTCCACTAGGCCACACTGCTTCCTGTATAATAAATTCAACCCACAGAAGAGCAAAGGCCAGGATTCTCCAATTGTGCCTCTTGGCAGCTAGGTGGCGCTGTGGTTATAACAGTGTCCCTGAAGTTGGGAGGACCTGAGTTCAAATCCTGCTTCAGGCACTCACTAGCTGTTTGGCCCTGGGCATGTCACTTGACCTCTCTCTGCCTCGGTTTCCTCGTCTGTAAAGTTGGGACAATAATAGCACCAACTTCCTCGGGTGGTCACGAGGATTAAATGAAATGACATGTAGCACTTTCCAAAAGATGTTACATGAATACTGTTATTGTTATTATGTTGCCCAAGTTTCTCTAAAGTGTGCCACAAATTGTGTGGAATTTCCCCTTCCAGTCAAATGTGCATGCCCAAGACTCCTGGCTCTCCTGGAAGTGTTCCTCTGGAAGAGAGAGTGAGGCCGGTGCCTTTGCACAGCCCTGCCTCACTTAAATCCAATTCACTTGCAAGTCAAGAATCACCTCCTGACGCCACTGGTCCTCTTCGAGAATGAAGGACGAACAACACAAAAAGTGTTCCCAGCTCAAATGTTCAGTGGGCAACAATTCTTCACAGCAAAGAATAATAAAGTTTGAGAAATATCGGTGTAGGTTGATGGAATCATCCTAAGCCTAGGTCGCAGGCCTTGAGTACTCTTCACATGGGCCACTAGATGGCGCTTGGAACCAGAAAGACTCATCTTCCCGAGTTCAAATGTGACCTCAGACACTTACTAGCTGTGTGAACCTGGGCAAGTCACTTCACCCTCTTTGCCTCAGTTTCCTTATCTGTAAAGTGAACTGGAGAAGGAAATGGCAAACCACTCTAGTAAGACTGCCAAGAAATCCCCAAATGGCGTCACAGAGAGTCGGACATGACTGAAAAATAACTAAACAACAAGCCTTCACTCTCCCTCTGGAGGGGAGCCCCAAAAGGGAAGGGCAGGGCCACAATCATAACGAGTCTCTGAGCTCCAAGGCGGAGAGGGATTTGAGGAAACTTGGGACTTTCTAAATACCGATTCACTCAAACGAACACTTCTCTGGCAGAGAAAATGGAGGCCCCTCTGTGTTCCCCTGAGTGAGGGGTAGGAGAGTCTCCGACAGATAGACGCATTGCTGTCTTGGTGTTGCTATGGAAACAGAGCCCTGCAAAAGCCTCTAAGACAAGGCTCTTCCTCTTTCTTCCTGAGGAGCCCTGGGCTTCCTAGGACGTCAATTCCAGGAGATGCCCGGAAGGAACAGGGAACTTTCAACCTATTTTTCCTTTTGGTTCCTCCTCTGAGCCTCCCATTTTCTCCAGAGATCTCGGTCTAACCCCAAAAGGAAAATAACAATTCAGGAGCAGACGGAAGGCCCTGGGATTTGAAAAAAAAATTTAAGGCTTGGAGGTAATTTTTAAAAAATATTCCTGTCTTTGCACATGTCTAACCTATAGCAAACTGCTTGCCTTCTCAATAAGGGGGGAGGGAGAGAGAAGGGAGAGAATTTGGAACTCAAAATTTTCAAAACAAATGTTACAAAATTGCTTTTATATGTAATTGGGAAAAAATAAAATATTTTTAAAAGTAAAATAAAATGTTCAAGGCTCAGGAAGAGAAAAGGACAAAAGTGTGCAATAAAGGGGGTTGGCAGATGCTCTCAGTAGGACTCAGCAAGCAAGACGGATGGAGCAGCTGGCCCTTTTCAGCTAGCCCTGCAGAGGCTTAGGGATTGCGCCCTGGCCACTCTCAGTCACAAAACGAACTGCTCATACCCGGACTGGGCAAATAGCCCAAAAAGCTAGAGGGGAGAAGGAAAGGCCCCATATGCACACGGATACTCAATGCAGCACTTTGTACTATAGCAAAGAAACTCGATGGACTGTTATTGTGCCATAAAAATGAAGAACTGGATTCAGAGAAACCTGGGAAGACTTATATGAACTTATACAGAGTGAAATAAGCAGAAGTAAGAGAACAATTTATACAATGACAATGATAATGTAAAGGAAAACAACTTTGAAAGAGTTAAGAACTCTGATCAATGCAACGATCAACCATAATTTCAGAGGAGTGAGAGATGAGGTATGCTTCCTTACAGAGCCGGCAGACTAGGGGTGCAGAGGGTGACATACGTTTTTAGACACAGCCAATACGGGGAGCTGTTTTGTGCAACTTTGCTCACTTGTTAGAAGGAATTGTTGCTGTTGTTTTTAAATTTTGTGGAGGGAAATTGGAGAGGGGAATGAATGGGAAGAAAGGAAGGAAAGAGAGAGGGGAAAAAAGAAAGGGAAAGGAAGAAAGAAGAAACAAAAGAAAGGAAGAGAAGGAGAAAGAGAGAAGGGAAAGAAGGAAGAAGGAAGAAAAGAAAGAAAGGGAAGGGAAGGAAGGGAGGAGAGGTAGAAATGAAAGGGAAAATTAAAAAGAAAAAGCCAAGATTTGGAAGAACAGTACAAACCTGGGAAATATCCAATGCCACCAAATGGGAGCCTGAGTGTTATATTTTAGGAACAGCAAGTGGGTCAATATGGATGGACTGTAGAATATGTATGAACAGGTACAAAAGGTTCATGTGATAAAGTTCTTTAAAGAACAAATAAAGGAGATTATATTTTTTAAAAAAAGGGAAAAAGAAAGGGAGAAAAAAGAAGGGGAAAGAAAGAAAGAAGGAGGGAGGGAGGCAAGAAGGAGGGAAAGAAGAGAAAGTAGAACCAACAAAAAAAATCTTCAAAAAAAAATGAAGGACTCTCAATATACAAATCTGGTTTCCATCTTGGGCAGTTTCCAGTGGGGGGGGGGGAATGCAGGGCTCTCTAGAATCCAGCTGTCCCCTTCCCTTTCCTAATGGCCATAGGGCAGGCCCCTACTTGCCTTGCACACACATGCCTGAACATTTGGAACCAGAGAAGATTACCTTCAGCCGTTCCGTTCATCCACTTCACCAGTCTCACTCAAGCACATTTGCTCTTTCCCTGGACCCCACTGTCCATAATGGGGAAGCTCACCTCATGATAAAGTTGTGTCCATCTACGTCCCTCCCATAGCCAGAGCCACGAAGATTGCCTGAGTTTCCGACCACGGCGCAGCGCCGGCACTTGTGGGGGTCCCGGAAGCGGTAGGGGTTCTCCCCTGGCACAATCTGGAACAGCTTCTCCAGCACCTCATTGGTGTTGTGTGACTTGAACTGGGGCTGCAGCATCTGTGGAGAGGGAAGACAAAGGGGAGAAGCCTGGGGAGGAAGGCCAAACCTCGGGGCAGGGTGCTGAGGTTTCTGTCTGCCCTGAACCTCCACCCATGCCTGGCGCCCAGTGCCTCCTGATTTGGAATTCTACTTAGGCCTCCTTCACAGGCCATGCCAAATACCTTGCCCTCCCTCATTAGCATTCGCCTGCCCTTGTATCCCATTCTCTCTTGGGGCCCTGCTCTCTCCTGATAAACTACTCATTGCTGATGTGTTTGTGGGTTAATGTGCCACTCATTACCAGGTAATACGCTGGCATTGAAACAGGTATCTTAAGCCAATTTCAGACACCAGTCTCAATGTCACTCAGATCACATGACCACCTACTTCTTCGGCCAGCCTTGAAGGCCTGCGACGCCCCAGTGCTACACAGGAGACAGAAGTTGCATAGGTTTTGGGTGCTCCTCCCAAAAGCCTACAGAAGGTGCTCCAGGCTGGTCCCTAGGTACAGAGTGAGCTCTAAAGGCATGAAAAGGGAGGAAAAGGACGGGCAGATCAAGAGATCCCCTGGGTTAGCACCGCAGGGCCCATGGCTGACCCAGAGGCTTGGAGTCACAAGGCAGGGGCAGGCACTGGGCAGAATCTAGGCTCTCAAGCTCGGGGCATGATTATCACAAGACCAATGATGAGCACCATCGGGAGAGGGACCACACAACCAATTACTTGAGCTTAGCACTGAACTTAAAAAAGTAACTGAAGTTGGTTCTTTAATTTGCACGAGAAACCGAACTTATGTTTTCTTTTTGTTGTTGCTGGGGTTTTTTTGGGGGGGGCAGGGAGTGAGGAGGCAATCGGGGTAAAGTGACTTGCCCATGATCACCCAACTAGTAAGTGTCCGCGGCTGGATTTGAACTCAGGGTTTCCTGATTCCAAGGTCGGTGCTCTATCCACTATGCCACCGAGCTGCCCCACTGCACTTATTTTTCCTAAAACTGTCAAACCCAAACATCAAAATAGGGTAGGAACCAAATTCATACTTCCAGACCTGCCAGGAGACCCTCAGGAGATGGGGGCTGGGCCACCTGGAAGAGCCTAGGAAATAAGGGGGCGGGGGAATTTGGCTGCATTCCTCTCTGAACACTAGGGAGGAGGCGGGGGCGGGGCTGTCAGGGACACACGAGAATGATTCAAGAGCTCGAGGAATGGACTTAGGAACAAAAAAATGAACTCCATCTGGAGAGAGAGCTTGGCTCTGAGTCAGGAATTCCTGAGCTCAGGGGGGAGGGGGAAGGAGAGACCAGGCCCCATTGAGAAGCATTTGAGAGGGGGCATGTTTGGTGGTTCATCGCCTGTTCAGAATACATTAACATGTGGTGGAGCCCAGGGCTGTCTGCCGATGCTGGAGGAGCCGTTTTCTCCAGGCCCTCCTTTACCACAACCTGGCAGTGGGAACGTGGGCAACTCCCTGGTCCTCTGGGGGCCTCAGTTATATCCTATAAAGCAAAGATCCCCGATCATGGACACCAGACAACGTCATAAAGGGCTCTGAGCGGTCAAGACCACAGAGGCTGTCAAGTGCTCACTGATCCCTCCCTCTCATAACCTCAGTCATTAGCTGCTTTCAGCCTCGCCCCCCCCCCCCCCCCCCCCGTCACATTGACAGGGCTTGTAATTCAGCCCCCTTGCAAGAGAAGAGTAGAGAGACAGATTTTTCTCTTGAGTTTGGAGTCTGAATTCAAATCTTGCCTCTGCTATTTACCTTGACCCTGGGCAAGTCAAAGTCTCTCAGCCTCAGTTTCTCCATTTGAAAACAGGGATAATAGCTAGCACTCATATAAGATTGTATGGTTTGCAAAATGTTTTGCAAATGTTATTTTGTTTCTTCCTTCACAACAATCCTGTGACAGCTAGACGGCACAATGGATAGAGCACTGGGCTTGGAATCAGGAAGTCTCAGTTCCTGTTCTCAAAGAGTTCAGTGTGATGGGGAAGCAACATGCAATCAGCTATGTCTGTACATCTCCTCGTACGGAATACAGACGGATAAACTGGGAGTAGCGTCAGAGAGAAGGCACTAAGGTTAAGACTGTCCGGGACTTGGAAGTGTGGGAAGCCAAGAGGCCAGGATGAGGAAAGAGCATTCCAAGCATGAGGAACAACTGGGGAAAATGCTGAGGGTCATGAGACGGAAGAGCAGAGAGATCAGTGTCCTATGGTATAGGACTGGAAAGGTAGGGGGAGGGGCCAGGTTACCAGGGCTTTGGAAAGGCAAACAGGTTTTATCATTGGGCAAAAGGGGGCCTTTGCGGGGAGGGGTGACATGGTCAGATCTGTGCTTTAGGGGCCGCATGGAAGATGACCTGGAGCAGAGACTCAAGCCCAGAGGGGACACTGCAGTTGTCCAGGCATGAGGTGACAAAGGCCTGCACAGCGTCAGAGGAGAAAGGGGGGAGTATACAAAGTATACAGTACTTTGTAATAGTTTTGTTTTGTTTTGTTTTGCTTTTTTTGGTGAGGCAGTTGGAGTTAAGTGATTTGCCCATGGTCACACAGCTATTGAGTGTTCTGTGTCTGAGGTCACATTTGAACTCAGGTCCTCCTGACTCCAGGACGGTGCTCTATCCACTGCGCCACCTAGCTGCCCCTGTAATAGTTTTGATATATAGCATGAGAGATAGTGGGGAATCCAGTATGACTCCTAGGATATGAGAAGACCAGCTAGCAGAGGACGATAGTGTCCTTGCCAGTATTAGGAAGGTAGGGAAATCAGGGGGGGTATTTTCTGGGGGGAAGGGGAGGAAAGATAATGAATTTAATTTTGAATGTATTGAGTTTAAAATGTCTACAGAAATGGTGTCTTCTAATAGAAACAAGGGACACAAGGATCCCTGTGGGCTACACGGTGACTAAGAAAACCACATTTTAAAGTTCCCTGGGTTCTATTGTATTGGGGCAGGGGCAGCTAGGTGGCACAGTGGCTAGAGCCCCAGGCCTGGGGTCAGGAAGACTCATCTCACTGAGTTCAGACACTTTCTAGTTGTGTGACTCTGGGCAAGTCATTTATCCCTGTTTGCCTCAGTTTCCTCATCTGTAAAATGAGCAGGAGAAGGAAATGGCAAACACTCCAGTGTCTTTGCCAAGAACACCCCAAATGAGGTCATGGAGAGTCAGGCACAACTGAAAAATAACTGAAAAAACCATTTAAGCTTCAATGTAAAGGAAGCCAGGATTCTCTGAGGCAGAGGTTAGGATAAATAGCACAGAGAAAGGGGGGCAGCTAGGTGGTGCAGTGGATAGAGCACTGGCCTTGGAGTCAGGAGGACCTCAGTTCAAATCTAGCCTCAGACACTTGAATCTTACTAAGCTGTATGACCCTGGGCAAGTCACTTAACCCTGATTGCCTCACCAAAAAAAAAAAAAAAAAAGGCACAGAGAAAGAAAGGAAAGAAGGTGAGAAGGTCCAGGTGGGTCTAAGGTCTTCCTTGCCTAGGATTCAAAGCCCCCTGGTAGTCCTTCCCTTCCACCCCATCCTAGGGTCTGGGAGGTTTGAAAATGCTTCCAATTAAAGCTGCTGAGACCTCTTTTCACAACTTGTCTTCAAGGCTCTTAGCAGTCTGGGGTGAAAGCGTTGGAACCCTAAAATGGCTCCTCCCTGGGCTAGCATCCTACTGGTGATGTGGGCCTCGACTCAGCCTAGCTGGGAAGAGATGCCCTTGGGTCTCAAGGGTTCAGCTCCACCAGGGCGCCGCCACTTAGCTTGGCTACCTGGAGTCCTAACCAGGTCCGCTTTCATCTTATGCTACCCAGGCCACTGACCTGATGATGAAATTGGACCAGCTGCTATCTCCACCCTCACCCCTTTCACACCCTGATTTTCATCCACATGCCAAGCTCTGGGGCAGATTTAGTGGGCTCTTGAGAAGGTCCTCATAAGAGAAGATTCAATTTTATTCCATTCAGCTACATAATTCAACAAATAAATGCCTACTAGGTGCAAGGCAGCTTGCTAACTAAAAATGGAACTCTGCCCTCCAGAAGCTTCCATTCTGCCAGCCTGGATATAACACGTACACAGAGAGACAAAGCTGGTCTCTTACCATCCACCAGCGCTGGACATCTAAGGGGAGATCCATGTTCTCTTTGGTCCAGACAGGGGAAATGTTGCCATCATAGTGACTGTCAAACCAGTCGGAGGCCCCTGTGTCCCCCATGCAGCGGCGGCAGGCACAGCTCTTGCTCAGGTGACCCCCCTTGCCGAGCCGCTGCAGGCCCGTGTAGCTTGGCACCAGCTTTACCCGGTGCGTGCTGCCCAGGCCCCCGGAGTCCAGGTAGGGCAGGGTGGCCATGCTGTGGTGGGAGTAGGTGAAGAGGAGCGACATGACAAAGACCAGCAGGAAGGCCGTGGAGAGAAACCAGAAACGCAGGGAGCACTTCATGGCTTGGCCGAGGGGGGTGGGACCCCCTGTGGGGGCAGGGGTCACCGGGGTCCCTCCCTCACCAGCTGGCCCCAGCGCTGCCCACCTGGTCTGGCTCCACAGAGAAAGAGCATAGAGGCCCAAGTCACGATAAGGAAGGGGGAGGCCAACGGGGAGGGGGGGAACCCCGTTCTCTCCCTCAGAGGTGAGAGAAAACAGATCAGGCAATTGTGGCTTCCTGCCGCTGGAGACTCCGGTAGCGGCTGGGTCCGGACCTGCCACTAGCTGGGCCACAGGGGCTGTGCGTCTCCAGCCCCCCCACTGAGGGGGAGGTCAGTCCATCCTAGCCCTCTAGTCCCTCGGGATTGCTGGGTACCAGCTCTGGGAAACCTCCTCTTTGGTGATTTGGAATAGTCCAGTCTGGGGCAGCCGGGGTTCTTGTGGCTCATGGGCAGACCCTGAGGCTGTCCCTCCCTCCCCTGCTGCAGGGGAGCTTGCTCTGTCCCCCTGGGGAAACCAAGGATTCCAACCAGAACAGAAGCTCCCCAAGTGGGATGGGGTGTGTGGAGAAGGGCACAAAGAGATGGCCCCGAGGTCACTTGGGCAAGGAGAGGGGAGAACCAGGGCCTTGATTCTTAGAGGACAGGGAACAAACCCCACCAACCTCAGCGGGCTGCCAAGGTTTCAAAGACACTCAGTGAAGGGTGACGACATTCCATGCTATCTCAGAACTTGCCCTGTCCTTCTCCACCGAAGCCTCACCACCTCTGAGGCAGCAAGCTCCTTGGCCCAGGCTGCCCCAGAGACTACAAAGGATCATTCCAGAGGCGAGGCTCCCGGGAGTGGAGGAACAGCTGCACGCCAGCTGCCGGGCTCCCCAGTTACTGGCAAACGGGCTGGACACCCCTCTGCTCTCTCCAGCGTCTTCTTCCCAGCAGTGCTGGCCCAGGTTCCGCTGCCCCTCTGCCCATTCCTGCTCCCCGAGGGCTGTGTCCTCAGCTGGAGGGCTTTCAGTGAGCTCCTGGCAGCCTCTGCTGGTCAGAGCCGGGTCTGCTGAAACTGCAGAGAAAAAAAACACTGATGTACAGATAACGCTCTTTGCCACCACCACTATCACCACCTGCGCTGCCCTCTGGTTGCCCCAGCTCTATCCACACCGCCAGTCCATGTTGTTGTTCAGTTGTGTCTGACTCTGTGAACCCATCTGGGGTTTTCTTGGCAAAGATACTGGAGTGGTTTGCCATTTCCTTCTCCAGCTCATTTTACAGATGAGGAAACTGAGGCAAGCAGGGTGAAGTGACTTGCCCAGGGTCATATAGCTAATAAGTGTCTGAGGCCGGATTTGAACTCATGAATTTTGAAATTTGAACTCCCCAGTGTGGTACAGTGGCTAGAGGCTGGGCTTGGGGTCACGAAGACCTGGGTTCAAATCCTGTCTCAGACATTTACTACCTATGAGACCATGGGTCAGTCACTTAAATGCTCTGTGCCTCAGTTTCCTCATCTGTAAAATTAGTGGCTCGAATTAGACGGCTTCTAAATCCCTTCCAGTTCTATGACCCAAAGAAAGAAATTAACACGGAGGGGGGAGCCCCCTAAATCATATAGGGGTCATACTAGAAATAGATCCCATCTCCCTTTATATTATCTGCATCTCAGCCAATTCATAAAATAAGTCCTGGAAAAGTTAAACGTCATGTCTGAGGTCACACAGAAAGACACTGGCAGAGCCTAGATTAGGCTGACAGATTGATCAATAGAGCATTATTAATGATTATTATTACTATGTGCTGGGCACTGTGCTACATTAGATATTTTGTTGCTTAGAATAAAAGGGTCCCTTGTAACCATTCCCAACTGCTCCAGGGTCTGTGTGTTTTGGGGAGGGGCCCCCCTAGTGAGGGAAGAGGATTGGGGCTGGTCTGACCCAATCTGCCTCTCCATTTGCTTTTTTTTTTTTCTCGGAAGATCTTTATTTTTTTCCAGTTTTTAAAAAAAATAGTATTTTTTTCCAATTACATATAAAGACAAATTTTATCATTTTTTTTGTAATTTTAATTTAAACCTAAATACAAAACGAGAAAAGAAAAACAAATTGCCTTATACACAGCAGACCATTAGAGATGATTCAATATAAAACAATAAATTTCCATTTCAAGAAAACCTGTATAATAAATACTGCAGTTTTCAAAACTGCCCAGCTTTTCTTTGCTTTCTTGTTGGTTTTCTTTTATTCTCTGCTGTGCACTTTTTGCTGTGATAATTTCTTGTGACACTGTATCAAGATCCTTCTTTTAATCATAATCTTCAGGTAATCCAACTGTTCTTATGTTACTTCTCCTCAATCTGTTCTCCAGATCAGTTGTTTTTCTGATGAGGTGTTTCACTTTCTCTTCTGTTTTTTCATTTTTTAAATTTTGTTTTATGATTTCTTGGTGTCTTAGGATGCCAATCATTTCCCCTTGCCCAATTTTAGTTTTCAAGGAATTATTTTCTTCTTTAAATTTTTGATTCTCTATTTCAAGTTGGTTGACTTTTCATAATTTTCTTGGTTTTCTTAGATTGCTCTTATTTTTTTTTCTAAATTTTTCCTCGATCTCTCTTATTTGAATTTTAAAGTCCTTTTTAAGTTCTTCCAAGAACTCTTTTTGTGCTTGGGACCATTTCTCATGGAAAACGGAATGGCTTTTTTTTTTTAGCTCCATTACCTTCCTCTGAATATGAAACCAGATCTTTTCTATCCCCATAGTTAACTATCTATGGTTGGGTTCTTTCTCCTTTGTTTACTCATTTTTCATTTAGTTAGCTAGTTTTTAGCAGCTATTAGTGTAATGAAGTTGTAGTCCCGAGGTATGGAGAATGATGCCCAAAGTCTCAGGTCCTTCTCACTGTTATTTTCCGAGGTCTATCTTGGGGTCCAACCTTGAGCTTTCCTCTCCACTCCTAAGCCACAGCCAGGGCCCCAGCCACACTGTCCCGAAGATGATCTTGCTCCCTGCAGTCCCTCCAGTGGCTACAAACTGCAGCTATCCTCTCTGCCCTGGAACTGAAACCAGGGACTCTGCTCGCCTGGGAGTGCCCACAGCCAACAGGGTCCCGGCCGCTTGCTACTGCAGTCACCAGATGTGTGCTAGCTCCTTCTCCTTGTAGCCATAGCCCCAGATGTTGGTCAGCACAACTGTGCTTGACATCACTCGGACAGAAGAAGGTCCTTCAATCTCCTACTCAGCCATTAGGACCCCCCCAACACTGTCTGCAAAATCAAAGTTTCTAAGGCTGAGGCTGCCTCTCCACCCAGCTGCCCCAAGGGCTTGTTGTTTGTTGAATTGACAGAGTGGCCAGGAGGTGTTTGTACTTCACTTATGCCAGACCAGTTTTCCTGGGGTCTTCTCAAATTGTCTTAGGAGGACAACTGCCTTACCCCATGTTTCTTTCTGCTGCTTTGAGGCGATGTTCTATCTTTTTTTATGGAGGAGATTTGGAGAGCCAAAAGTTGTCTGACCTACTCTGCCATCTTCCCAGAATCCTCTCCTTCATTTGCTTTTGACAGAAGTTTTGAGGCTGTAGTCAAAGTTTCCTGGGTCATGCTGGAGGGTAGACCACAGAACCACCAAATCAGATCCAAACAGACTTCCCATATGATTTTAATGGGTTGAGGTGTTAATTTTTTAAAAAAGAACTCTAGAAACATGTGTGGTTTTCTAAGTCAATCTGTAGCTGTCAGGCATCATTACAGATAGTTTAGTGACCCGTTTCTATCTGGGGACAGTTGGGGGGGGGGGTGGCGCGCCACACGCTCCTGGAAGCCACAGCTGACATCTATGCTAAGCAGTGAGTGGGCTGGGAAAGGATTTCAGTTGTCCTGTCTCCCAGCCCTCCATTTCCTTCCCTTGAACTGCCCACCATGGTGTTCACCTTGATTTTCTGGCATCAGACCCACAGCCTCAGCCTTTCTTCATAAACTCCACTGACTCCATGCCAAATTCCCAGCCAACTGTGTGTCTCAGGGCCTCCCTCTTCTAGTTATGCCACTGATCAGAGCTGCAGCCCAGTCAACGAGCCAGGGCATACCCAGAAGCCAGTCTCCTACCTCCAGACACTCCTCAGCACACATTCCCTGCATGCAGCCCAAAGGATTTACTCTCTCCCTGGGTGGAGGCAAGTAAGGAGAAAAGAAGAAACCATTTCTCAAGAAACAAAAGACCAGATTGCCTAAATGTCACCACACCAGAACCCGTGCCTAGAACTCCTGTCTTCTCAGACCATATTTCAAGTTTTCCCCCTGGACAAACTCATTTATTCAAGTGTGATGATGACAGCAGATTTAGAGCCAGCAAAGACTCTTGGAGGTCATTTACTCCAGCTCACTCATTCTACAAATGAGGAAACTAAGGCCTAGGGACTTCTTGGAAGGCCAGGGGGCACCATAGTGCACAGAGCACCAGGAAGACTCATCTTTGTGAGTTCAAATTTGGCCTCAGACACTTACTAGCTGTGTGACCCTGGGCAAGTCACCTTACCCTGTTTGCCTCAGTTTCTTCATCTGTAAAATGATCTGGAGAAGGAAATGGCAAACTACTCCAGTATCTTTGCCAAGAAAACCCCAAATAGGGTCACAGAGTCAGAAACAACTGAAATGATTGAACTGAACTGAAGGTCCACTGAGGTTAAATGCTTTGGCCAAGGTCAGACTGATAACAAAGAGCAAAGCTGGGATGTGAACCAAGTTCCAACCATTAAGTAAAGTGAAAGATGGGAAGAGGACAAATACCTGGGAAATATCACACCGGACAAAACTGCCCCTGGGATGAGATCAAGAAAACATGAATAACTACCACCGCTGGGCCTCTTTTCTCTACTCCGTAAATTACTTTTGAGAATAATCTATGTATATGCATCCTTTCCCAATCCTCCTCAATTCAGAGTGCCTTCCCTGGGATTTTCTCCAATTTATCTTGTAGATGTCTTGTTTCTACATTAGTTATTTACATGTTGTCTCCCCCGTTAGAATGTAAGCTCTTCGAGGGCAGA